ATGATCCTTCCAATGCATATTGAGTTCAGAGTGCTAAGATTTTGTTGAGGACTTTTGCATTGATGTTCATCAGGGAAATTGGTATACAATTTTTTTTCTTGTGTGATGTCCTATTTGGTTGTAGCACTGTTTTCCAGCCCTTTCCTCAAACCTATGTTTATCTTTAGAATTCAGGTGCATTTCCTATAGACCAGCAGACAGGTATTCTTTTCTGATCACAATGCTCTCTTTCCCTCTGATTGGTACATTCAGGGTGTTTATTGATATATGAGGGTTTGCAAGTGCCATTATCCTTATTTTCTGGTTCTATTCCTTGTTAATTTTCTTTTGTGGATGTTTCTTTTTTTGATTGGGTAGGAGAGCTCCTTTTATCATTTCTTATTCGGGAGGTCTAGTGTTTCCTAAAATCTTCAATTTCTGATTGTATGAGAAGGAATTTATTTCTTCATTACATTTGAAGGAGCGTCTTGCATGATAAAGTATCCTTAGCTGGAAGTTTCTCATCTGTAAGTACATTAAGTGTATCATCCCATTTCTTACCCATAGTCCTGCCTTAGAGAAATCAGATAGAAGAATAATGGGAATAGCTCTATTGGTAACCTACTTGTCTTTGTTAATATTCTTTCTTAGGCTTGAGCTCTTGGAGGTTTCTTTAATAATGTGTCTTGGTGAAGTTATCATTAAATTTAGGTAATTAGATGTTCTTTTCACTTCATAGACTTGTCTATTTCGTTCCTCTTTCAGTTTTGGCAAGTTTTCCTGTATTATTTCTTTTTGTCTGTTCAATTTTCTCTCTCTCTTACCTCTCTGTAATACCTGTTATTTTTATATTGCCTTTCCTGTGGGAATATGGTAATTGTTAGAGTGTATCTTCATTATTTTCTTCATATTTCCCTTTCTTCTGTGGATTCTTTGTCATTAACTGGATTTCCACTTTATTTATTTCACTTCCATAGTTTTCTCCAAAATTTTTATCTCCTCTATTAATGTTTTTTACATCCTTTGCCTCTGTTTTTTTTTTTAATTTAAAACTTCAATTACTTTCTTCTCTTCATTAGTTTAATTTCTCAGGCCGTTTATTTGATTTTCTGTTTTCTTGTACATTTTTGTCAGCTTTTCTGTGTTTACTGTTTCTTTGCATTTCTTTATCGGGGCAGTTCTGAACGCTTTTTCTGATAGGAAGTAAAGATTCCCCCATGTCTTTGTGATTGGATTCTAGAGATTTCTTCTCTCTGTGTGGTAAAATAACCACCTGAGAACTCAAAGTGCCTTGTGCTGTTTTTTTCTATCTCCTGGTTTTGTAGTATTTTAGGCTATTATACCAGTCTAAGAATGCATAACTTCCACTCTTCCAGTATATGGCACTGTAAGTTGGAGAGACTTGATCTGTGGTTGGTAGTCAGTGGGTAGGAGAGGGTTTAGTCACTGGTGAAATTGATATACTGGGGTGTCTCACTTTTGTCACTTGCTACCCCTCCTCTCTGGGTTTCTAGATCTGCATCTACAGTCTACAAACGAGGCTTTTATAGCTGATTTACAGGCTCATCTTGAATTCCAAGGAGGTATGAAAGGAGAGTTCATCTCTGTTATTTTCTTCTTCACTGGAGAGCCTGCTTATCTGCTTACCATAGCACTTCCACATCTTGCTCCCAACAGTTAAGGTTGTGCCTCGGTAGCACTCAGCTATCCTTTCCTTAGGACCACTAGCCACACATGGGAGCATAGGCTAACAACTCTGGTTCTCATCTAGGTTCATCTCTTCACCTCTCAAGGTTCATCTCTTTACCCATCTTAGTTATACACAGCTGAATTTTCTCATTGTTCCTTCTGTCAGAGTCAGCATTGTTCTCATGCTCAAGAGACATCTCAGTGTTGTCCCAAGTCATGAGAACTTCCGACTCCAGTGTCTCTCTAAATCACCTTACATTACCTTCCCAGTAGTGAAACAGGAAACCTCCTTGGATGTCATCTCCCTGTCAACTTTGAACTCTTTATTTAATATCTTAAATCACTAGAAATTAATTAATGTCAAAAGCTTAGGGATGCAAGATAATAAAAAATTGTTAGAATTAGATATCCATTAAGTGCAAGCATTTTACTTTATAAACTTCACTGTCCAATCACAAAATAATATTGAATTTTATTACTTGAAAATCTAAAGTAATTTAATATCCATCGGCTATGATTGGATAGCATTATTCAATTTTTTCTCCTTTCAATTCAGAACGTGATTTAAATAGCTTAACTTGGTATTTCATTGACTAGAAAGATGTTTCTCTTATGACAAGGCTACACAGGAAATTTTATCATGAATGCTTTATTTGAGCATTTTCTTGGATTTGAGCACATTTTGAGAAAATCTGTGCCCATCATTAAAATTGCTTCTGGGTACACACACAAAATAATAATTAACTGAAATTCATCAATTATGTTCGGGGAGTAGAAGCAGTTTTGTTTAATAATGGCTCCAAATGCATCTGTGAATGAAATTAGATAACAATCTATATTAAAATGGATTATAATCACTGCATAGCTTCAAGTCTTTATATAGAACATTGTAGCATTCACAGATCTCAGAAAAATAGCTAACATAAATGAAATATTAGTGTTTATAATGCAAGCAAAAGGTATTTCAGTGCCAAAACTGTCTTAAACTAAAGAATTATATAATAAAGTTACGACTTATATATTTATCTGTTCTGAAGATCCACTTTTTTCCAATTCCTTTATAGAATAGAAGTAACTGAATTATTTTGGGAATGATAGTTTATATGAACAACCAAACTTTATTTTATTTGTATAATTGAGCAGTGAATATATATATATATATATTTTTAATGTATTTTTAAATTTTTTTCCTCAAAACATCTCCATTGTCTAATAATAGTAAGTAGTAAGTTGGCAGGTACTTTTAATCTTCTCAATGATACATAGCAATATTATATAAATTTGATAAGCTTGTGCAAATTTCTGAAAAATCCCTGTCTAAACTATGTCTGCTCTTATACTGTGTTTCTTTACATATGTACAAGCACAAAAAGGAGGAGGATGTAAAAGTTAATGTGAGAGTGACAACAGAGTGTACATTGTGTAGTTATTATAGGTAAATCTCTAGTATTGAGTGTACTTTTTTTTCCAAAAAACATTAGCATTTTCAATATGATACTTACATAATCAACCTGATTTATCATAGAATTAGAGTATGTAATAATTACTACCTGTGACATGAATGAAATTTTAAGCATTTAATTAGTAAATATTTAAATGTAGCATTTTATTTCCAGAGTTCAAACCATTTATAAATGTTAATGATACAGAAAAGCTAGAGTGTAACATGACTAAAGAAACACAAATTGAATAGATGAATAAAAGACAATTTTTTGGCAGTATCTTTAATGACACATTTTTAATTTCTACATGTTTCATTTATTATGTTATTAAGCTAATACTAACTGAAACAAATGGTGGAGGAATAAATACTAATTACTAGGGAGAGTAAAACCTAATGCTTGTTTATCGCATTTGAATGTTTCAAGTGATATTGAGTAAAAGGTGGTGAGAAAATCAGTAGACTTATGAGTTATCATAGCTACTTCATTTGTAAAAGAAGTACTTAGTCTTGCTACTCAATTACACTGGATTCTAAAGTTACAACAGCGGTGAGAAAAACACCTTTTTTGTGCTTTATTTTGTTTTCTTTTATAAATTATATTGATACCTAATAGGCTAAGTGAATTAGTGATTTAATTTTGAGATCTGTAACTTTTATGTTCTGTCCCCCTCCCCCTTTTATTCATTCTGCAAATAATGAACATCATTTTGTGCTTAGCATTATTTTAGTGGTCAGGTAACATGGGTTAAAAAAAATATTGACCTTGTCCTAATAGACCTCCATTCTTCTAGAAAGTTACCAAACATATCAAATGACTAAAACTATGTTTGTTTTTTTTAAAATAAGCAGAATAAAAATGTTTAAGATAGGAGGATCAGGTCAGGATTAAAGACTTGAGGGATGTGAGGAGTTAGTCCTGAAGATAGATATAGCTCAGTAGGGTTCCTGAGTCAAGAATATGCCTGTAGCTTTGGTCTGAAAGCAAGAAGTTAGCATAACTGGGGCAAGTGAATCACAGGTGAACGATTTGTAAATGAGAACCAGAGATAGGGAGGGACCAGAATGTGTAATGTGTTATAAACAAATAAAAGAACATGTAAGTAAATAGGGGCCATCTTAGGGCTTTAAGTAGAGAGGTTGCATGATATCTCCCCTATGTTGTTGCCCGACAGTTCTGGTGATATGTTGATTATAGGCTGTTAAAGGAAGAATGGAAATGTTTATTTCAGTGATGGGAAAGAGCTGTTAATGGCATAGATAATTGATAGCAGTTTATTAATCGTGTATGCCATAATTATATACTTTATGATGTTTTGGCTTTCCCTTTTTCGTAATTTTTAAATTATTTATTTTACTTAGGTAACTTTGCTTTACAACATTACCTATCATTAGAGATATAGAATTGTAGCCAGTAGGTGTATCTTACCATACCGTACCCACCAGCACATTACAGAAGGTCCTCCACCATATTTCTTTGTACGTCTCCCCCCATTTTGTTCTCCCCCGTCTACCTTTCTGGTAACCTCAATTATACAATCATATTTATAAGGTTTGTTATTTCTTTTTATCTGACCTTTTTTCTTTTTTCTTTTTTTTTCTTCTCTATATTACACATAATAAGTGAAACCATCCAGTATTGTCTTTTTACTTCTGACTTATTTTGCTTAGCATAAGCCCCTCCTATCCCAGCCATACTGGGTAGATACAATTGTGATTATTAATCAAAAATAATATATTTGGTTAATGAGAAAAACTTAAAAATTTATTTGCTGAAAGATTTCCAGAAGAATTTATTTCTGGAAGCAATTTACCACCTGTTAAATGACTTCATGAAAAATAACCTACTCCATTTGAATATTTTAATCTAATGTACATTTGTTTTCTTTAGCATTTGTGGAATCCAGCATCTGGAACGAATAGGAAAGAAGCTGAATCTCTTTGACTCCCTTTATTTCTGCATTGTTACATTTTCTACTGTGGGATTTGGGGATGTCACACCTGAAACATGGTCCTCCAAGCTTTTTGTTGTTGCTATGATCTGTGTGGCTCTTGTGGTTCTACCCATACAGGTGAACATAACATGTTAAATTTTATAGATGTACAAAATTTTATAAAAGCAAATCTTTTCTGTTTAATAAAAGATGTAGGAAGATGTTTTTAATCTAATGGCATTGTAAAACATATGCTGTGATTACAATCTAATCAATTAACTTGCAGTTTCATATGTATCTTTTTGCATTACTATAAACTGAACTTTTTTTCTCCAGTCTTAACTCCTAGCTCACATATTTTAATTTTCGAAAATATTTCTTCTAAGTTTAGGATATTTAATTATATATATGTAGGGCTGTAGGGTAATATTTTAAATTATAGAAAATATATATTCAGGAAATAAATTTGTTGATTTCTCTTGATTTTTGAAGCAATCTGAAAACCATTCATTTTAACAAAAAACTTAAATATACATCTTCGTCAACTAAATCAGACAAGGCTTAAAGATGATATGTAACCACTCTAAGTATGTAAAGAGGCTACAAAGGGTAAGAAATACAAAACGAGGCTAAAGGTAAATAGAGCACTCTCCAGTTCTTTTCTACAATGAGTTCTGTGTTCCATGGGCCAGGACATGACTAATACAAATGAAATTTATTGCTGTATAGAACCTTTGGCTACAGTGGGTTTAAATATATTTTCTTTAGGTTCAAAAATTATATTCCCACTCCTGTCCAACCATGCCTGTCTTCTTCTGTATATTTGCATTACCAGTATATCTGAATGCATGAGGTATGGATTGAAGTTGACAGAAGAATGTGAAAAAATGTCAATGAGGTTGTCTGTTTGACCAAGCACATGACATAATTAGACTGCATACCTCACTGCACATAAAGCAGAGACACAAATCTGTTAGTGCCCTGTTATGAGATAATAGGAAAATCACAATAATTTGTTTCCTTAGAGACCTGAAGCCCCATGGAGGTATTAACAATCTCTGCAACAATAATATGAAAAATCTGTTGTTGAAGAGAACACAAATAATTTGAATCTCAATAAGTTACATCTAAGAATTATGCATATCTAATGGAGATTATGTATTGCATTGATTTTTATTTTCTTGTCCGGAGTTTTTATTTGCATGTGGAAAATATGTTACAGGTTGAACAACTGGCCTATTTGTGGATGGAGAGACAAAAGTCCGGCGGAAATTATAGTAGACACAGAGCACAAACTGAAAAACATGTTGTTCTTTGCGTCAGCTCTTTGAAGATTGATTTGCTCATGGATTTTTTAAATGAATTCTATGCTCATCCAAGACTACAGGTATATTTAAATTTTATAATGCTACCAGTGGCTCATACCTACTAATATTTTGTCAAAGTCAGTTAACTGATGGTGCAACCTGTGTTCTGGAGGATTTTTATTTATACATTCAAATTTAGAAAGAATAAATGAAGAAATACAAATATAGCCAGGAACATAGAAAAAAAAGCTGCAGGAATACACAGTATTTTAAGTTTCCTTCTGTATCTACAAAAAAGACAGATGGAATTATGTTAATGCTACAAAGCAAGGTTTTCTTTGAATTAAGAGGATTGCTTTTTCCTCCCTTGGGTAGTGTGTAAGTGATATTTTTATGAAACAGTGAAATGCAACATGAAATATAATAAAACAATGAAAAAATCATTTTAACATCATCTGTTCTCTTAAATAGTTCAGGGATTTATAAAGTGTTGGTGATGGAAATATGGGAATATAGAAGTACCATTTTCCTTTTTTTTTTTCATGACTGAAACTGGATTCTACTTATTGTGACAATGCATGAAGAAAATTGGGCAATAGCTGGCTGAATTGAGAACATAAATTGAGAAAAACACCTATGCAATAAAATTCTCAGTTACTTCTTTCACTTGTCAATTTTCTGTGCCAATTTGGACTTCATTAATTTCATTTTTTGCTTAATGCATTTAGTCCAGTCCAGACAGCAAAGAACTATTTGAATTTCCTGCATTTCCTCAACAAATGTGTATCAGGGTGATGAAAATCCTGAAATCAATACTGAGTCTATCAACTCAATTAGCATATTCACCTCAAGATTCTTTCATTTGTCCCAAAAGCACCATTTAATCTTTTTAAATAGCTGAATGAGTCATATTCCATTGAGTATATGTTCTGTAATTTATCTAGTCATCAGTCCATTAACATTTATCTTGACTTTGATGCTGTGCATAATGTTGGTATAAACTTAGGCATACATAATATTAGTGCTTTCAGACTCTTTGGGTAAAAACCTAGAAGTGGTATTGCTGGAACATATGGCATTTCCATCTTTAGTTTTTAAAGGAATCTCCATACTGTTTTTCATAGAGGTTTCACCAAATTACACTCCTAACAGTGGATAAGTTTTCCTTTCTCTCTACATCCTTGCCAACATTTTTTGCTTCCAGTCTTTGATACAGGCCAGTTTCACAGAAGTAAAGTTCTATCTCATGGCTTTGATTTGCATTTCTCTTATAGTAAGAGATTTGAACATTTTTTTTTTACATGCCTGTAGGCCATCTGAATGTCTCCAAGTGTCTGCCTATTCAGTTTTTTTGCCCATTTTTGAATGGGTTGTTTACATTGTTAAGTTGGATAAATTCTATGTTTTGAAAATGAATACTTTTTGTGATGTGCAAATACATTCTCCAAATCCTTAGGCTGCCTTTTGGTTTTTGTGGTGGTTTCTTGTATTGTAGAAAAGCTTTTTAGCATTATGTATTCCTATTTGTTTTGTTTTGCTTTATTTTGCTTGACATTGGACTTGTGTCCCCAAATATATTTCTGTGATAGATATCCAGTTATATATCAGCTGTGTTTTCTTTTATGTATTTTATTTCTTCAGGTCTTACATCAAGGTCTTTAGCTCTTTTTGAGTTAATTTTTGTTTATGAAGTTAAGTTATATAATTTCAGTTTTTCACATGTTCTTTCCAGGTTTCCAAATACCATTTGTTGAAGAGGGTTTCCTTTCATCGTTGTGTAGTCATGACCCTATTGTCAAATATTAATTGTACATATTTATGTCAGTTCATTTTTGGGTTCTCTTCTATTCATTGGTTCATGTTTTAGCTCCAATAACATACTCTTCTGATTACCAGAAGAATACCACTTCATCTTAATGAGGAAGTATGATGGTTCCATTTCCTTCTCTTAATTTTGCTTTCGCTCTTAAGGTTCTCTATTGGTTTTATACAAATTTTATAATTGTTTCATTTTCTTGAAAAATGTCCATTCAAAACTTGGTAGTTATTGAATTGAATCTGTAAATTCCTTTAAGTAACAAGGCCATAATAACAATGTTTATTCTTCCAATCCATGAACATGGGATATATTTCCATTTGTTTATGTCGTTTTTAATTTCCTCTGAGTATCAGAGTTTTCAGTGTATAACTTTAATGTTTCATTGTATTTTTGTGGCATCTGTTATAATTTTGCCTCTTTCATTTCTGACTTTTTTTCCATAGGGTTTTTCCAAATTGTACTCTCTCTTTGGGGTTTTCTGTTCTCTTACTGAGTTCTAGCTAAGGTTTCATCAATTTTGTTTTTCCCTTTAAGTAAACAGTCCTTGGTTTTATTGATGTATTTTCTATCATGTTTTGATGTCTATTTCAGTTGTAATTTTTATTTTTTTCCTTTTATTGATTTTAGCTTGATTAGGTTTTTTCTACCTCCTCATATTTAAATTTAGAATTTTGAGATTTTTATTGCTTATTTATGTGGGCCTGTGTTACTGCATACTTTCCTCTTAATACAACCTTTATTGCATAAAATAGGATCTGGTAGCTTGTCTCTTCATTTTAGATGGCCACCAATTTTTTAAATTTCGTTTTTGATTTCTCATTGACCCAGGTCTTTTCATTCTGCTTATTCTCTGCATGATTGGTTTTTTCCAGCTTTTTTTTTTTAAGCTTGATTTCTACTTTTATATCATTGTAATTAGAAAAGATACTTGATATATTTTCAATTTTTATGTTTTTGAGTCATGTTTTGTGTTCTGGCATATGATCTCTCCTTGAGAAACTTCCATGTGCTTTTAAGCAGAATGCTCACTCATTTCTTTGGTAAGGGGATGCTCTGAATACTCTTCACAGTTTACTAAGTCCATCTGATCCATTGCTCCATTCAAGGATATTATTTCCTTGTTTTCTTTCTGGCTGGATGACTACTGTTGGTCTAAGTGAGTTGTTGACATCCCTATTGTTATCATGTTGCTGTTGATGTGTTACTTTAGGTGGGCTAATAGCTATTTTATATAACTGGGTACAACTTTGTTGGCTATGTAAATATTGAAAACAGTTATATCACCTATGGTTCTCATTTCTTCAGATTCTACATTTCTTGTAGGTGTCTGCATTCTAGGTTTTTGTTTGTGGTTACCATAAGGCTCTTATCAAGCTTTCTATATCTAATATAGTCCCTTGTATGCTGTTATCAACTCAGTGTCCTTTAAATATACACATGCTGTCTTTTGCTTCTTCACTTTAATGTTTTGTTCTTGTCTCATATTACTCTTGTTTATATTTATGATTGTATATTACTGCTTATCACCTTGGTCAAAGTTTTGTGTTCTTTCTTTTCCTGAAGAAATTCCTTCTAATATTTCTTAGAGGGCTGGTCTGGAGGTGATAAACTCCATGAGCCTTTGTATGACTGGGGAAGTCTTTTTTTTTGCCATCATATTTGAAGCATAATTTTGCATGATAGGGAATACTTAGTTGGAAGTGTTTACCTTTTACATTTTAAATACTTTATTCCACTCTATTCTAGCCTGGAGAGTATCTCCTCAGAAATCTGATGGAAGTTCTGTTTGACTTGCTTTTGCATGTTACTTTTTTGGTTTCCTAACAGCCTCTAATATTTTTTCTTTAGCATTGACTTGATAATTAATGATATCTTTTTTTTAAAGACTTATTTATTTATGCATACAGAACTGGGGTACAGGCCAGAAGCGCAGGGGCAGCGAGAGGCTTCACCAGAGACGGAGTGGGGAGCAGAACAGGCAGATCGATGAAGTACCCTGCTGAGGGGAGCAGCGGGCAGGTCAGGAGAGGTCTGCCATGCCATGTGGTCACCTCCGGGGAAGGCGGGAATCGAACTCGTGGAAGTGGCTTTAGCTTCTCAGTGCTGTGCTTTAACCCGCTGAGCCACCAGGGAGGGCCATAATGATGTTGTTTTGTAAGTCATTTGGTATTTAGAAATTTGGGTTTTCTGTACATTCATGTTTAATTATTTCCTTCTGTTTGGGTAGTAACCAGTTCTATGTCTTTGAATAAGGCCTCCCCTTTTCTCTCTCTTCACCTTCTAGGGTACCTGTTATTCTTTTTTGTTGTTGTTGTTGTTGTTGTTTGTTTTAAGATTTATTTATTTGTGCATACAGAACTGGGGTACAGGCCAGAGGCTCAGGGGCAGTGAGAGGCTTCACCAGAGACAGAGTGGGGAACAGAACAGGCAGATCGATCAAGGACACTGCTGAGGGCTGGTCAGGAGAGGTCTGCCACACCATGAGGTCACATCTGGGGCAGGTGGGAATCGAACTCATGAGGAAGTGGCTTTAGATTCTCAGTGCTGTGCTTTAACCCATTGTACCACCAGGGAGGTCCAGAGTCCTGTTATTCTTACGTTACTTCTAATGGAGTCTGATGATATTCTCATACAGTTTCTTTATTTTTCTAAATATTAATTTTTTCTTATTTTGCTTGAGTCCTTTGTACATTTGTTCCCAAAATTCTCTTTCTGCCAGATTAAGTCTACTTAATATGTTTTCCACATTTGTTCTCATTTAATTAATCTTCTTTTGTATTTTCTTAAATCTCTTTAATGAAGACTCTTTGTTGCACATCTCTTTTCTAATATCCCGAACAGATTTTTGTGTTTTATTGACCCGCTAAAACCTGTTTGAGTTTAAGGTTATTACTGTATTTTTCCTGGCAGGTCTCAAATTCTTTGCTTTTTATATAAGTTTCTGAAATTATATTTTTCTCTTTCTGCTTTTCCATTTTGTGTTCAGTAGCTCTTTATTTCTAGGCATGTAACTTGCTCTGTTTGATTTTGCTCATTGGGGTGCTATGAATTTCACTTTTACAAAATCTCATTTGTTTAAGTTGGCATCCAGTAAGTAAGTGGAATGATGGTTGAGTCCAAAGACTTGATCTCATTCTTTGTGAGGAGCGAGGTTACTTAAGTGAAAGATTTATACTGCCTCTTTTTCCCTTGCTCATTAGAGCAAACATCTTCATTGTGACAGGGAGTATAAATTTGAGAGCTCCCATCATTTTTTAGCTTTTCTTTGTGGTACGCACTGTGCAACATATGTCCCTCTCAACATCTTAGCATGCCTTTCATGCAACCAGAAGTCTATTCCCTGTGAGTGAACAGTCAGTCTCAGTGCCCGTGTGAACGTAGGCCTTCGCTCTCTGCTCACTAATAAATATCCCTGCACACAGTCCCTGTTAACCACGTTTTGTTCCTGGTTTCCAGCTTGTTCTGTTGACCTGTATACGCACCACTGTAGCTATAGTTCTCTTACCCTTTACCTCTTCTGCCCCAACAAGGAGCCATCAAGCTCAGAGACATTTATACATGGTTTAGTCTCCTGTTTGTAATGAATTGGTGAAATTTCCTGTGAGAAAAAAGAAGTTTTTTCCTTCTGGTACTTAGGGAAGTGGTTTATCAGAAACCTCTCTTTTGCCATTTGTAGGTTGTGCCCTTGGAGACTATTTTTATATTTGAAATACCTAAAAAGAGGTGTTCAATTATATATGTATTCTTGTATTCTTAAACATTTGCATATTTTGAGCAGTTCCACATATATTTAGTTTTGTTTTTATTCAAAATTTTCAGATTTCCTTATAACATAAAGAAAAATTGTTTCTAAGAAAATGTGATTCCATAAATTTGATCCCTACTAATTTATTTTGCCTGTTATTAATTAAAGGGTTTTTTTAATTCTAGAAGTTCCCAATATTATCTTTTAGAGTGATGAAATGATAGCAGTGTATTAGAGAATTTGAATTATTTCTGGTCAGTTTTAAATTTTGTCAGAAGAATATAGTTAATTATAAGTACATATAAGTATACTTACATAATGTTTTTACTTACTCTAAAGGACCTTTTTTGAGAAATACTTTGATCTCAGCCTCCTTTATATAATTTACTTTGTCAACATCATCATTTTAATGAATCATTACTATTCAAATATTCAGAAGTTTTTGCCATTCATGATATTAATAAATCAACAGTTTTTATTGTAAAGGTAACAATATTAAATATAAATTTACTTAAGCAATTTTGCCTGAAAAATATGCAATATATTTTTTAATTCTGCCTTAAATCATAGCTAAAATTTTTATAGGCAGCGTATATTTTTCAAACAGTAATTATCCCTCTCCCTGACAATGGTAAAATTGGAAAAAGTCAGGATCATAAGTATTTTTGTCATTGTTATCTTTATTACAGTTTTTTGTTCTTCATATATGCCCAACTTTTCAATGAAGATTTTTATTATAAGTTAATTTCTATTTTGCCATACTTCAGATTATTCTTAGACATTTTGCTGTTCACCTGTGCACTATGAAATAAAATCTTATTGTTTCTGTCCAATTACCTGCTTTGTTTTAACAGGATTATTATGTGGTGATTTTGTGTCCTACCGAAATGGATGTGCAAGTTCGAAGGATACTACAAATTCCAATGTGGTCACAAAGAGTTATCTATCTTCAAGGTTCAGCTCTTAAAGATCAGGATTTGTTGCGAGCAAAGTAGGTATCTTTATTTCCCATTTTAACAGTTTTTTTTTTCCTCATCTATTTTCAGTATTGCAAGATCGTTTAGGAATTTTTGAATACAAAATTTTAGCTTAACCCTACTGTTGGTCAAATTGAAAGGTTGACATTGTAAAATCAGTGTGTTTACTCCTCAGTATTCTCAGTGCAGAGATGTTCAGCAGAATGTGTCTACACAATATGGGAAATGTAGCATGGTATAATAATCTCAAGCAGCCAAAATGAGCTGAGTTATCCAGAGTCACGGTTGGTTTGCAAGTCACCGAATATGTTTTTATTCCACCAGTAACAGTTTTGTATACAACATGTGAAATTCCAAAGTAACTTAAGTTAGGGTTCAAATATTCAGGAGTCTGTACTATGTTCTGGGAAGATAACACTGTCATGCCTCGTAACAAAGGTGGCAGAGTCTCTGGGAACTGGAAGAATCACAAAGGTGAAAGGTCTTACTTAGTTGTTCTCTTTTTATTATTCATGTTCCACCAATTCAACTTAATGGTGACATAGTATTAAACATATGTCACAGGACACAGGGCTGTTCCACATGGGCAGATTAAGATCATGGTTTGGTCAACCAAAACCTCCAGAGAGTCAAGACAACTGCAAAACGTATAGTTTCAGAAGCCAGAACACATCCTTAACACAAGTGATTTAGCTTCATGTTTTCTGTTGCTTTTAAGGCTTTAAATATGTCTTCATGCTTATCCTTGAGTTGTCATACATACTCTTAGGTTTTAAAAGTCTGCATTGAATTTTATAGCATAAAATTTTATTTTTGTGTGAATTGCTTATGTGATTTTATCTGAATTGCTTAGTGGGTATGTATATGTTTGTGTATGTTTTGTGTGTTTTACTTATGTTGTGACTGCGCGTTCTGTCCTTGTGTCTGTGTCTGTGTGTGTGGTAGGGGAGGGTGATAGAAAAGAATAGAAAACCCTCAGACTCCTTGCTGCCTTATACTGCAAGTAATGACTTAATGTCTCATAATGGAAATTTCTTTTGATGTGTATATAGTAGGTGGATTTAAGTAATATTTTTTTTTCCAATGACTTACTAACTTCTAAAAAATGTCAGTAGAAACTCAGGACATATTGAATGGTACATATTTGAACATTTAACTCCTTTGAGAATGTATTAGTAAGTTCAGGGTACTAAATATTCCATAGTTCTTTTCATTGTACATGACAGTTTTCTTTTAGTCATATTCACCTATTACCAATCAAGCAAAACACAGTGTTTGATGTTTACTATTGTAAGATTCTAAGGAAAGAGTTGCTTAAATATTTACATAACTTGGATCTTCATAGTCATCTGCAAACATAATCAATGTTTAATTTATTATTTTTCTCACATTTAAAAACTAGTAATGTCCATAATATGATCACTATGAATTTGTGTCATGATTAAAGACTTAGATTATTTAATGAAAAGTGTTAGTATTACTGATTAGGACTTTAGCTAAACAGATTCACACCACTCATTATTAATAGTACTAAAAAGTATGTTAGTAAAAGATATGACTTTTACAAGGAACATTCCTCCAATGGAATATAAAAGGATGAGAATGAGGATGAGAGAGTTAACAGACTGAATGTACTAAAAAACACAGTTAAGAAAGAAGTTATACAGGAATATCCATGTTAATAGTCACTTCTAATCCTAATGTCATATCAAGGCTTAGGATTTAATGTTAACTAACACATTCTTCAACACAATTTTCCATGCAAGAAACAAGGAATAGAATTCTCCAAACCAGTTACAAAGGTCAGTTGTATGAGTTTTGAATTATTTTGTTGAAAGTATTTAGAAAATGTTATGCAATGCTTATATTATCTTAATAACCATGCCTCAACATTTTCCCAATACTTTGTGGTTTGGTCTAGTTCCATGGTATTTTAATCTTTGTTCTAAAAAATAAATTATTTTGGAAAAGGTTTACTATAATTAAAGATAAAAAAATCATTCCTTATTTTGAAAATAAATATTTTTATGTTTTTAAAACTATAAAATACTGACATATCATTTTTGTGTCATTCAGTTTATGAAACACATTTAAACATTACTATGATGTTCAAGGGTTTGGAACAAGATACTCAATCATAAAATAAAAGTTCAATTTATGAATAATAAACAGTCCTGTTTCTTTTTAGTTGAATTGAAGTAAAATAGAGTTTATTATAAAATAAAGATCAATATAATGCTCCTGGTTTAAATAAGGCTTATATTATAAAAAATTACAAAACATAAAAGAGTTAAATTTTGACACTTTTTACTACTATCATAAATTGAGTTTTAACATAGCTAACTCAGCAATAATTATTTTATATTCAAACAGTAATAATTTGACAGAAATCATTACATTTCATTTATGTTTAAGGATATTTTATATGCATTGCTCTAAGTAACAAATTCTACTTTTTACATGATCATAAATATTTCTGCTTGTGGTTGTTTTGGTTTTTGTCTGCATTTAGGATGGATGATGCAGAGGCCTGTTTTATTCTGAGCAGTCGCTGTGAAGTGGATAGGACGTCATCTGTAAGTTTCTAATATCTCCTTTAGTAAATTGTTCATGTTACCTTAGAAGATTGTTTTTATAATCTGCCAAGATAATATGTTGTTGACCTTAAAAGTTTACTAAAGGGAAGCAATTATCTCTGAATTATCTTTGCAGTAATAGGAAATAGTTGCATCATTAACTATGTAAAAAAAAAAGTGTTTTTGAAGTGGTTTCTACTAATCCTTGGGTCTTCTGTTGATTAAAATGAAATGAGTCATATGTAAACAAAACTAGACCATTTAAAATTAAAGATATGCCATGTTTTGTAATCTTGTTTAAATGGTCTTAATTTCCTCAAGTCAAAAACAAGGCAGTTTGATCTGGCAGTCTACATTTGTATCAGTTGGAAAGGCTCTGAAACATGCATTTGTGAAAATTCTATTCAGGATATATGGGTCAGGGCTGGGAAGCTGTATGTAGAAAGAGACTCAGGTGATTTTGAATCACCTGATTTGGCAATCTTTGACTTATTTGTTCTCTATGATGTATTATTTTAGGTCTAAAGTTCTATTAAATTGCCTAATTACCATTTATACCCTCTATTCTTTAAAAAAAGTACATTTTAGTCTTAGGATTTAGAAAAATACTGTGCTATTTTATGTTGAATAGATACTATTAACTTTGTTTTAAAGCCAGCATGTCCATCTCTACCCATACAAGCTTCTCCCTCTTTGTAATAGTATAATGTTCCTATTTGGAAATGATACTGGCATTAATTTTATGAAATTTTTGTGTAGCATTTCCAGACTAAAAGACTACCTTTCCAAATTATAGTAAATAGGAATGTTCCTACAGCTAGCTGTGGGGGACCTTTATCCTGGTACACAAACAAATGAGAACTGTAGAGGCTTCTATAGCAACTAGGAAAAGACAAAAGTGTGTGGATCTTTCATTTACGTATTTGTATATCCTCTTTCAGGCATGTATTCTGCCCTTTTCTAGATCCTCTACCAGGTCTGCTGTGCATTTGCCCAGGACCATAAGTCCTGAATGTGGCAGGCTTTGTGTTGTCCTTGATCTAATTTACATAACCTCTTACTGCATTTTAAACCATGTCTCTCATCCTTCACTGAAAGGGAACTCTTATGGTTTCAATTCTATCCATCCCCCATGCCAAGACTGGTATGTGGAACTCCACCTCTTTGTACCTGGAACCTCATAATATAAACTTATTAGTTGATTAGTTCTTAGTAGAAGTAATAGAATTATAATGAGCTAGTTAGGATGAACCTTAATTCAATCTGATTGTCATCCTTGTAAAAGGAAAATGTTAAGACAGTTACAGGAGTTCCATGTGAATATAACAACTACCACAAGCCAAGGCGAAAGGCATGGACTATAGTCTTCCATGAGAGTCATTAACAAAATTTCAGTCATTGGTATTCCTGTTTGTGATACTTTGTTTCTGCAGTTCTAGCACATTAAACCATTTAAAACCAGTAGCAGCAGTACTCTAGCACATACATTTGTGTTACAGGGAAAGTTATATATTAGGAAGTAAACACACAATGTCTTTAGTGTCTCCCTTACCATATGATTTGGCAGCTTTCTGTTAAACACACACATTAATTTCATACTGGCATTACTAAATTGAAGGGAATGAAAGATTTCTAAGGACAAAATCGGTGATAGATGAGACAACACTATAAAGCTTTCAGATGGATGAGGGGTGACTGACTTAGAAGAAGTTAAAATTTAAGTTGAGAGGAAAACAAATCAGAAAAGAAAACATAAGCTGCTTTTCATGATGGAAATAGAGGCAGCAAATTCCTCTGCAAGAAGGGTCATGTAAAAGAATGAAAATATGAAGACAAATTAAAATCTCTGAGGGAATCAGAGACCCTCCACATAGCTATCGCTGATAACATTCCCCACCCTAGTAAAATAGTTTAGTGTTTGGAAAATTTGATCAAAACACTGGGTACAGCTGAGGGACCAGGTAGAATCAAAAGAAACAAAGTTCAAGTCACTTCACAGAACATGTGATGCATCTCTAAAATGATTCTGAGAAGTCCTAGAGTCAGATTCCTATCTCCACTGACACAATATTGGAGAATTTTCTCCAAAGTAAACTACTATATAGGAGACATTCAGTGAACTAAAAAGAATTCTTGGAGATTAAATATCAGGTTACAAAAAATTAAAGTGTGTAGAAGATAAGTAAGTATATTGAAAGGACAAAGAATAATAAAATGAGCGGTGAAACTAAGTATTGGAAAAGTGGAGTCAAAACATGAAAAAAATTGGACATTGGCTAGGAAAAACAATATCTATATGGTAATAATACATGGAAAGGAGCCCAGAAAATGATGAGGGAGAATATTGTAATTATATGATGTACTCCACAGGAAGGCTTACTTACTCTTATGAAATGAAAATGAAAAAATACCACTGGTAATGAAAAAATACCACTGGTCAGAGAGATAAAAAATAATAGATGGATATAGACGGAGAGGACATTAAAATGCCATGAAGGAAAGTGAGAGGAAAAAGAAGGAAAACTTTCCAAACTAAGGATGGAGGTTTAGAATATATTTAGAGTCCTCAACAATAATACTAGAATCCAGAAAACAATGAGACAATGGTTTCAAAATTCTAAAGGAAAATGTTTTCTAATTAGAAGTCTTTTTTGGGGGAAATTTTCATTTAAGAAAGATATTTATAGATATTAATGATTTTTTTTAATGCCAATTGTCAGCAAGTTGTAGGAAGATGTATTTAACTGAAGTCAGGGAGGAAATGAAAATAAAGGAGATTCAGTATCTTGAGGGCACTTTGATTTTGGACTTTTGGCCTCTACAACTAAGACAAAATACATTTCTGTTCAAGTCACAGCCTGTGGTATTTTGTTATGGCATCCCTAGCAAACTAAGATGGCAAATTTTGAATTAGTGATGAATGGTTATGAGTAGTTTGAAAAATAAACAAATGTTAGAAGAGATCATTATTATCTCCAAAGAAACCTTGTTCATTCAAGATTAGAAATGTAATTAGAGCATTCACCACTAATAACAGTAGTAGTTATGTGAACATTGAATATTGAGCTGACCAAAATTAGTCCTGAACTATATTTAAAGAATGAGGTGAAGAGAAAATGGGGGTAGGAGCCTGGACCAGAAAGGTACCCTCTTCCATTCCGTAGTAGGAAGCCAGTAGACAATAGTTAAAATTAAATAATCAAGATATGGTAATGAGGTCACATTTGTTGGTATATAGATGTAAATAACAGAGTAAGAAAATTAAGCCTTTAAAATGAGTGCCGGTGTGAAATGCAAATATAGCAGAATAGGAGGCTACTCTTAAATGTTTTGAAACTTGGAGAAGTCCTTGTCTCATTGAACTGTGTTTGAGCATAGATTTGATAATTTTTAATTATATAATTTGGAAAAATTCCTTTCTAGGAAAAGTTCCTAAGTCTAAGAATGAGCCTTCCATTTTAGGCAGAGAACAGTTCCCTCTTCATACCTATTTCAATGAATCCTCAAGATGCCAGTGAAATGTTGTTTAAGTTGATCTGCCTCTACTTTCTAGATACCTGTGTGTTTTTTTTAAATTCAATTTTCACCCATAAATCTACTTAAAGTATTCTATATTATACACACTAGTTAAATTATTCTGTTGTTCACACCTGACTGAATTATACTATGGATTCAGGAAAACCTACAAGGTGTGTCAAGGAAGGCTAAATTTTAAACAAGTAGAATCAAAAAGTTGTTGTATTCTTTATTTTTAAAAAATTGGTGAAACGGCATACTATAGTTGTAAAAATCGAGCAAACTGGCAAGGGGTCATAGATAAAGGAAAAGGAAGTATTCCTTAAAATTCTAGCCCAGGACTTGTGGTTTTGGTTACCCAGCTGAGGAGTTTGAAAGTCTCACACAACAAGAAAGTAAATAGCTGAACAGACTGAAAAATCAACAATTCTTCCAGAGTCTGTAGGAGGGGTAAGGACACAGGGTGGCTAACCGTTGCCTCCAAGATTGGAGAGACTGGCAAGCAAACACAGAGAATGGCAATTTACCAGAGCAGAGGCTCATGAGTAGAAACCACAGAGGGAGCCAATACTGAGGTAGGAAGCTGTGAACTGTAATTTTTGAGTGGTTGGAGGCCATTTGAAATGAAAAACTCCTAGTGGCCTGGGTCGTCTGGGAGCCCACAAAATTGTGAAATTTACTGTAGCATTCCCAAAGTAAATATCATAAAAAAACTGCCTCTGGCTCTGCTGAAGGAAGAAAAGGGAAACCATTTTGCAGTACACCAGGGCACTGTGTCCTTTACAAGGCCTATCTTCAGGGAAAGTAGTTAACCAGAAACTGACATGCTGTTGTATTATCAGAGCATAACTAACTTGTGCAAGGAAAATACTCAATTCCAGTCAGCTTAAGTCATTCTCTGCCACCTAAAGGGTGACAAAAAAATAACAAAAAATAATTTGTGAAGCCCCTAGTTACTGAAACATAGTGAACCTTGGACTGTCATATTCTTATCCATGGTGGCCTCAGCAAGGTTCTCTGTGGATCCAGGCAGACAAGTAAAGGAGAGTCCTGGAGCACTCAGTGACTTTTGGAGGTGTTTAATAATTTGTACACCATTTGTAGTGAGGCATCCAGCTGCAGGGCAGGCAGGGTGACTGGATGTCCAGGCAGCTGACAGGTTTTATAGCCCCCAGAAGCATCTTTACATTTTGGGTTTTGTCTGTGTTCTGTTGTGGCCTCTCTACTACTCTGTTCTGTTCCCGCCCTTTGTGACGTTGCCTGTATATGCGCAGCTTCCAGTCTCTGGTGTGCCCTTACACATGTCCACACCATATTCCAGGTGGCTACCATCAAGTATGTGTACCCTGAGCCACACTCTCAAGTGTCTCCTATGATCAAGCCACAGGGGAGAGCCACAGAAAGCCAATAAAGCAAAAGCCTGAGCAACCTGAGCAAAAGCCTTAGAAACCTCACATTTCTAAAGATCTGTTTCCTTATCTGAT